GGCTTAAGGGTACATTCACCCGTCGTGGATTCTCCTCCGTCCTCCAGTGGCCGAACAACAACCGCGTGCACGCGAATTCCACGAGTTTTATTTAGAACATCGAATTATTCTAACGTGACGAGTACGCACGTGTGCGCGAGAGGAAAAAAAGAATGAAGGGATAAACTCATCCGCTGGTAGCGCGACGTAGATAGTAGTAGACAGGCCGTAAACTCCGAATCAATGGAGAGTCGAAGGGGAGGATAGTGTTCGAGGACCCATCGAGAAGGAGAGAAAGAGGATCCCGAAAAAAATAGCGAATCGAAGATTCGGAACGAAAAATTATCTTATCTCTCTCTCTCTCTCTCTCTCTCTCTCTCTCTCTCCTCTCTCTCTCTCTCTCTCTCCTCCGGAGAAATTAAACTTTTCTCCTAGCTCTTGCTCGTGCCTACTACACGTACAGCGGAGATAATGACACGCGTAATTGCTTTATCGAACGAACGAATCGGAAGGAGAAAAGAAGGAGAATTTTAATTAAAATTTTGCACGCCGGATAAAAATGCATACTTTAATTCGCCTGTACCGAGCAGGCGAATTAAAATTACGAAAATTACGGGAGGAGCGGGCGCGCGATGTTCTTTGAACTATTACAAAGTAACGAGGCAGGACGCGTGCGCGGTATCTTTTTTTCGTCGGTAGGAAAGTAAAATCGTTGCTGCATCTCCGATAAAAGCCCCCGGGTGGGCACGCACGCGCACGGACGTGCGCGTGTCGGTGTTGAACACACGTAAACAAGTCCGTCGCATTCCACGCGCGGACCGGGTGTACCTGCTGCTGCTGCTGCTGCACGTAATCACGCTCGAATAATTAATTAGCTTATTCTGCATTACTTAGACAGAGTTAAAAACATCTCGCCGTCTAAACTGGCTATACCAGTAACGAAGAAATTTTTCATCGCAACGTAATGTTCGTAAAACAAACGCGACGGCAATTCGGAGATAATAAAGTTCTGTTTTCATTTCGGACGATTTAATTAAATATTCGCTTTCTCGTAGAATTTAATAAAATCTTCTTATCGCGCAGTATTCTAGATTCTTTAAAGTCGATTAACTGTACTTCCGACAGCTTCGTAATGGGAATAATTTGGATGTTACGTTATAATACCGAGATAGACCGCGATAATAATATAATATAATATAATACAATATAATATATAATATAATATATATGTAGTATAATATATTATAATAATTAATGTAAACGTTACTTCTCAATCAAATTTATCGTTAAAAGATTGAATTATCGAATAAATATTATACAAATGCATGTACCTATGAGAGAGACAGAACTGGGTTAATCTTTTCAATATTCCTGAATACGAATTTCGATATATTCACAAATTAGTAATGTTATAAATAAATGTTAACCGTAGTTGGAATTTCTCATGACTTCACGCAAACTAATAGTGGTTACTCGAATAGCAAGTTTCGCGAAACGGATTCTCGTTGAGTTTGCGCCAACTTTCGATTGGCAGCATCGCGGAGTAAAAATAGAGAATGCAATGTAATCAACTTTGAATTGCGGAATAAACAATCTCGATAAAATTTTAATTAGAATTGAGTCGGTGGAATAATATAAAAGTATTATTGCAACGCGAATGTCGATTGCGATAATACGTAGATATAATTATTGGCTAATGCAGCCACACAGGTTCCGTTCCAATAATCAACAATATCGTGCGAATATTGCACCTGCACTAACATTCCTCTCCGTTCGAGATTAGTATTATAATACAAATTTATTAATTACACAAATTATTCAAATTATCTAGGTATTATAAAGTGTGGAAATTAAAAAAAAGTACAGTTAAACTAATAATAAAGAGAATGGCGTTGGAAAATTATTGAGAGATTAAATGAGAGCATTAAGATATATATTTTTCAAGAAATTGTTGGAATATTCTTTGTTTTTGTATACATGATAATAAAATTAAATGCTTTCGGAAAATTTTGGTTTTTATGTAAAATACACACACACACACACACAC